TCACCTCGTCTGTTGTTTTGTAGGCCTATATATTTGTATATACATGGTGTAAGCCTAGTTCGCTCTGATACGTTAATCGAAATATTGGTATTCATCGAACGAGTACTGAATATAATAAATAAAATTAATTCAAATTCCACAATACCTTATCTTTAGGAGGGACAGGTTTAATCGATATTTAATAGATTTTACAGCGATCGATTTAGGATTTTCGTATTGACGCTTCTGGAATGTATTTTCTGAGCAACTTTACCAGGTAAACCGGTGGCAGCTACTCAAGTCTGGACTAACGTGATTGTGGACACATGCGCAAGTACCTGTGTGGGTGTGTGTGTGCAAAAAACGTGCACGTACCTCCACACGTGAAAATGCAAAGCAGGTATCTTATCGAAATTGGTTAAACGACTAAAATGTTGAAAGAAAATGATTTAGTTAGGCTATCTATCGTAGGCCCTCAGAATAACAAATGTAACAAATCGCGCTATATTAAACCTACAGTGGGCCCACAGCTCTAGACTTACGGTACATGTCTACATGAATTTTCTCAGGCTATGGCTAAATAACCATTGGAGCCAGTGGTCTTTCACCTGAGGACATCTGGATCATTCTTGCTATTGTTGCCTGAAATTGTAAGCCTACAAATTAATCAGTGTAATAAATCCATAATATTCAAATGCAGATAATGATCGGGATTCTTCGCATCTTTGCCACAGGTTGTTGCTCTTAGATCATGTTTGTTTCATCTTATCGTCTGCTAATTTATTTGAACTTGTACAATCGGATTGACCCGTTCGTACCGCTTAAATAATCGTGATACCGGATCGTGTGACTACCTTGTTAGGCCTATACATCTATGGGAATGCATCACATCTTATCTCTCCGTCGATCTATTTTTTAAATATGACTGATGATGTTCGTAATAGCCCACTATTGCCGGCGTCCTGACCGGTGCCTGCTACCTGGGATGTATTGGGTCATCTATCCAACAATATAGAGACAGTTGTAACACAACAGGTTGAGATATCCTACCTCGAACACAAACACTAATTATTTAATAGGCCTGATATGTAAAGGAAGTAACAAGTATTCTTGAAAATGATCAAATAGATCAAACGTTGAATCTCAAAATATCTCTGTCTTTTCGGAGTTACTGTCTTTTTGTTTTATTTAAGACCAATTAGTAGATCCTCTGGTTTTTAGACAAGATCTAAGCTTCGGATTTTTGGTATCAACTCGATTGTTTATATTCCATACCTAAACGCATCTTAGTCTTAAACTACGGGGAATATCGTTGAACATGATCGGTTCATATGATCTTTAATAGGCCTATAGCCAAAAATGAGTCAAAGGCATGACGCAGCATGACTGTCTAAAGTGACTAATGATGATTAACGAATCATATTAATTGATTAGCGCGCGGAGAGCAATTAACAAGCTACGCGCCAATCGCTATCCATTTAGAGGACACACTTCAGTATAATTATGATTATGTAAATACAGGCTTTATAAATAATCATCATTCTTTCCGATATCACGGTTTCACAACCCAAACAGTGTATTTTCGCTAACAATTCGTATTTAGCCGTAAGCATGGATTTGTGTTTATTTTCTACGGTACGAAACTCTGAAATTCAAATCTACTATAGGCCCTAATACTAATTTTCATAGTTTTTTCGTAAAATTTTTCAACGATTGAGTTTTGCTTATTAGGCCTATGACTTTTCAAAGATCCATATTTTGAGGTGATAGCAATTTGTTGCGAAAGTACCTCATCATTGTGAAATATGGTTGTGGTCTATGTGGTCTATGCACGAGGCATGTAAATATCATAACACACGGGATCGGAAATTGTCCAATAACAAATTACATTTCCGCGGTTCATCTCTCCATTATAGCAACGGGCCCATGTGGTGTCACCTCGCCTCCTCTTATCAGCTTCCGCTCGATGATGTATCGGACCTAGCCCTCTCAAGGTCAAATTTAAATGTAAACCCATTGGGAAGAGGAAAAGTCAATCCTGTTTGCCACAGGGTCAATGACAAGGCTAAACTGGGCTAGCGCCGCTAGAATACACACCAGTTTTCGAAATTTTCACTTGCTACTATTAACCTGAAATTTTTCACTTATTTCATCGAGGATTAACCCTAGGTCTAACCAAGGAGGTATTAAATTGATTTAACACCATGGTGTAACCAGCACTACTTGTACCTTAGTCTTAACCACTGTGAGGAAAAAATATTATAAATTAGGCCTATGTAGACCTGCCTATTTTTAGATTCGCTTGTTTGAATAAGCTTACCCGAAAAAAAACCCCCCAAAAAACACAAAAACAACTAGCCGCCAGAAAATTGGACTAAACGAATTACAAGCCTTCGAATTTTGAGATCAAGGTTAAAAGTTGGAGGTTGACTTACCCACTCTATGATTGAAAGCACATTATAATATAATCAAATATTATTACTAAGTTGTTACTGTACAGGCATTCCCGTATCTTTACGGCGCGAGTACAAGGGAGTGGTTAACAAAAACTATTGGTATTGTTGATGGAGGGTTGGCAGTGACGGATCACCGGAGGGTGATAAAAGGGGCGCTCACCCATTCCCCTGTCCTTCCCCAGCAACAGCCAAAACAATCACTTACAAGTGTAAAATCAGATAAGATTAAAATAGCTAAAAGCTGAAGATTGCAGAGGTGTAGTTTTATGGACCTTAATAAAAGGTACCGGTAAGCCAACACCAACAAATCCCTTCCTCTTTAAACAAGTTTCGACCTGTTTAGACCTTAAAGCCACCGTTTGCCACTCGCGACACTCCGCCGAAAAAGTTCTGGATCCGCCAAATTGGGGCAGTCCCTAACTTATTTTGGAGATTCAGGGGCTATGCCTTTCTCAGGCAGCTCCGGAGTTTGAACTATTTCTAATCTCTTATCTAATGATTTCACACTTCGATTTTCCGCCGCTCCAGGGTGGTAGGAGTGTCACTAAATTTCTTCGCCCCTAGATCCACCACTGAGCAGAAGGATTATTGTGTTGAATGATAACTATTGATAGTGATGGTTATGATATAGACCTACTATAATACTAATATTGAAAATAATAATAAAATGACTATTTATAGGCCTGATATGCCCACAGATATTCATACCAATATTTGTATTAATAATTAAGTATAATTTCCAATTTAATAATAGTATTAATAATTGATAATTAATTTGTACAGTATTTTTTATGTTTTTTATATAATGTTATATATTGTATTAACTTTAATGCATCCTGTAATTGGTTTTCCGCTACTGGATGATGATTTGAAATACAATAAAATCAAATAAAAAATAATTATTAATATTACTAATACTAAATACTACAAATAATAATAAAATAATAATAATGATACATGTTGATGATGATAATAATGATGATTATGATGATGATGATGATGACGAATGATTATGAAGATGATAATTGTAATAATAATTGAATTGTGATGAGGTGGTGAGAAGGAAAAGTGGCTCGCTCGTTCTGATTTCAGAGTGTTATTATTATTCCCTTCAAACGTTTTCCACATTCCATTCATCCACTACCTCACATTCCTCCTGGATTTCATCTTGACCTTACTGCTATAAATTTTTTTTCATTCGAAATTTTACTGTATCTGAGTGAGTAGTAAAGGCATGGTTATATAGACTGGGATACTACTAGTGTATCAGCACGTGTTGAAATTACAATCGGTCACAAAGATCAAAATATATTATTTGAAACTGAAAACTGACAAAATGTTTAACAATGAGGAAAACACAAAACTAAATAGCAGCTAACTTCAGAAGTTTGCTTTTAACCATTAGATCTATAGATTTCTAGTCATATAACTATCATTTTGGAATAGTTTTACAGTACATCGTAAACAATATGTACGGTAAGGGGTCTGTCTATCTATAATCAATGCGACGAAGCCCAAGTTACTGTAAAGTTTTGTCTGTTGCGTTTGTTTCAAATTCCATTGCCATGTATGGGCGTCCAACCAATTTGTGATTCAATAACGGACGATATGATTTTTAATGGAAAATCATGACTACAAAAAATATAATACCTATTTATTAAATAGGCACCCTATTAAAATCAAATCATCTTAACAAGTATATGTAAGGTTAAAATAATATGCCTATAGTGTTGTATGGTACTGTATTCATTATTCGTCTACTTCGGAATTGCAAAGGAATTGAAAAATGTTATGGGTACGGTAGCTTTTTTCTGCACCTTTTTAATATTTTTAATTTGTTAATCCCTGTGTTTATTTTCGTATTGTCAGGAATTGTTACAGGTTTGTTATCTACACATTATAATTTAGCATAGGGCTTGAA